GGTTCTGAAATTCAGGAAGTGGAGGAGGAGTTGGTGAATCCGGTCTATCTGGATGTTGTTGAGGCATAAGTGTTCAAGTAGATATTGGTGTACAATTTTTTTCCTTTTCCTTTTACTTTACAAGTTAATCGTTTACTTACTTTCATATGTACATAGTGTTCTTTCTTCATGTGTGCAAATAGTGGTGTCTTTGTTCAAGCTCATTACAAGGTGTTCTCTTAACCTTCTTGTCTTTAAAATTCCATCATCTCATTTCATTAAGGACAATGTGTTGTTCAAGTTGGAGGGTGAGGTGCACCATTTGTATAATACACCAATTTTTGTTTGCAATACAATTTTGTGATGAGATGCACTATTCACATATTCTACAAAATTTTGCATAGAATAGTTGGAAATGTGTGAAAAATTTTCAAAAATTTTTAATTTTTTGTGGCACATGTCTGAATGTTGAACCAAATTCCCCTATTCAAATTAGCTTGATTTTTGTTTTGAAAATTGAATACATGAGCACGTCATAGAAGTTTGTCCTATGTCTCAGTAGAACATATGTGTTTTCATTCGAACTCAACCACGGTGCACCTTAAATGTGTAATTTTAGCAATTTACTAGTTGGATCCACATTTTAGAGCCTGACATACATAATGGAGATGAAGAAAGTACCCATTTGAGCTTTAGTGTCAATCCTCATTGGAGGAAACTTACATTTACTCAAAGGAATAATTTTCAAATCCAAGATTCGTTCAATAATCTCAGTATGAGTGCCTTGGTTAGAGTGCATTTAGATAGTTGATTGAATTTTTCTAAAAAAAAGCCAATATGTCTCCCCATGCTTATCTAGAGATGATCTTAGGTCATCTTTGAATTGCGTTGAGCCTCAACCTTTTCTTGTGAAAATATTATCTCTTGTGTCGTGATTGATTCTTAATTGAATATTCGTTTTCATGCCACATGTTTTTACCAAGCCAGTGCAAAATTATTACAATTGCCACACCCTAGTTTTTCTGAGACTGACTTTGATTAATCATGAGGAAATGTAAAATCCAGGTAAATTTGAACTTTTATAAAAAATGATAAAACGGTAATTTGTCACTACAGGCATGTTGAAAACATAAATTTTTTTAGAGCTCAAATGACAAAACGGACCTCACGATTAGATTTGTCTCGCTAAATCTAGTTATCTTGTCATTTTTTGACAAATTTTGAGATAGTCATATTTTTTTGCATTTTTCGAGGTGACTGGGTGTCGGGTGACCTCAAAAACGACCTCAATTATAAAATTTTAAAATTTTATTATAATCTAAAACTTTTTGAAATAAAAATATTTTGAGCTTGAACCGGGACAAAATTTAATCGTTTCGGAGTGAAAACGAACCCGGAAATAGGGAACGCGTGGCGCTACGTGCAACCAAACATTAAAGGGTATAAATATGAGACAAAAATCTGATTTTTCTCCAAAAATCAGTTGGGTTTGAACATTGGAAGAGAAGAGTGGGAAAGGAGAGAAAAAAGATAAATTTCCAAACTTCTCTCTACAATCTACGATCTACAAAGTTCCGCCAGTCGGAATCCTTTGGGCCAAGTATTAAAGTTCATCTATGCAACGAGGGCTATGTAACCATACCAAAAAGGACGGATTTCACCGAAGATTCAAAAATAAGAGCTTGGGAGGTATTCTTGAAGGCTTTTCTACTATTATTTTACACTTCGAGAGGTAGGGTTTTCATCCTAACTAGGTTTATTTCCAATCTATGATGATTATGTGAAATGGGTAGGTTGTTAGATGTATTTTAACACTTGCCTGTTATAGTTGATTTAATGGAAATGAGTAAATTCAATTCTAGTATGAATTGGTAATTAAAAATTGCTAGCTTGTGATTTCTTGGAAGTTTTGATAATTGGGTAGGTAGAAATCACTTAATGTGATTTCTTGAGTTATGTGATGAATTTGAGTGTTTGTGTGTGATTACATGATTTGGTGCCTTGAAGGTGTTTGATTAAATGCCTATGTGAATTAAAGTGTGTTATTTCATAAGATTATGTGATAACATGCTTGAGAATTGTAGTTGGATTAAATGTTGATATATTGACATGGTGATGGATTACGGTAATTACATGTTTGTGTTGTAAATTGCCATGGAATATATTGAGATGTGGTTAAATTGGTCCATATGGCATTTATTACATATTGGGCATAAGATTGGTATTGTAATGGTGCATTACATTGCATATGCACGGAGACATCGCATTATGTAAATGTGTGTGCATGGTTGACATCAAACACCATGCGTGGTGAACAATGAATGGGCTCAGAAAAGTTGGGTCAAAGACCTGGCTAAGCCGCATAGTTTGTATTGAAAATAGGTTCGGGGTTAGCAAGAAGGGCTAAAATATCCCTTAGGTGCAAGGCTCGGTGATTGGATACCCACTTCGTTGGGGTAGAGTCTATAAAGTATGTCGGTGTAAACAGAACCGTTAGTGGAAATCCATAAATTATGTGTCGGTTGGGTGCTCCTTTGGTGTAAGTCCATGAATACCCTCCCCAAAAAAGACCCAGGGATTTTTAAAATGTCACTGAATGTGCAACATCAATGGCAAATGCTTGGAATACCCGATTTTATACTCATGGCATTGCATGGGTTGTGGGAGCCGTTAAAAGCTTAGGTTGAAGTGCATGAGTGAGTCTCATCTCATTTCATGGCATGGCATGGTGATTTCCAACATTGAATTGCATATTCTTGATTGGAATGGTTGTTACTTATCGAATGTTGCATGTGGACATTACATATACACTTAGATTGGGGAGTAGCCTCTTAGGAGATACCCTGTTGAGCGTGGCTCACCCTTTATTGGAAAACATTTCAGGAGCGTGCTATACACTGGTGGACGACTCATATTCGAGACCTCAAGGATGAAGAAAAGTCGACTAGTGGCTTTTAAACTATGTTTTTGTAAAACTAAGATGTCAATTAGTTTTTGGGCATGTAATGTATGAAAAAGAGTTGTAATCGAACTCATATGGACTATTTTTAATGTAAAAATTGCATGTTATTATATGAGTATGGATAAATGGACCCGGTATGGCCAATGTTGTATGATTGCACAACCTGTGTTGTAGGTAGAGCTTCCCGTACAAAGGAGACTTCGCCCAAATTTTGTTAAATTATGGACCCCAATAAATGGGGCATAACGGCGTGATATCGAGTTACACAGTATCCACAAGTATTCTGCGGATTGATGGGTGATCAACGGGTTGACAAAGGACCACCCGTTTTTGGGGCGTCACAGGAAAGAGGAATGTTGTGAGGAAACTCAAAAAGGGATGAATGGCATTGAATGAACAAGAAGAGAGAAAGTTAAGAAAAAGGAGAAAAAGGAGAAAAAGGCGGATTGAAAAAAGAAAAGAAAAAAAAGAATAAAGAAAAAGAGAGATAAAGTGACGTGAAGGTGCAAAGCTAAAAATTCCACAAAAAGGAGATTTTTGATAATAAAAGTCATGCTTTTCATAATAACCCTTTTTTACTCCTTCTACCCTTCATTTCACTCAGCCCAATTATCATCCCACGGCCTCATTACAACCCATGAAAGCCCTAAATGATCTAGAGAAACCATGTTGAGAGCACAATTTAAATGAAAGAAAAGTTGGTATTGCTATCTAGTGCCCTAACATTCTATTCATGAGATTATGTCAAGGTCGTTTCAATATTTATGCATGCATGTCATTTTTTGGATTATATGTGAGCATATTTTAGTTTGTGCACAAGATTCCATCTCACATATACACATTGAGAGAATGCCAGGATAATCATAGAGTTATTCATTTTTAGAGAGAAACCCTTGGTGAGAATTACATCAAAGCTGAATTTGGATAGCTAAATGAATGTGGATTTTGTTCAAAGGTTCATTTCACACACACGAGTTTTGAAAGGAAATGTGTAGGTGGATACTCTAGAATATTATTTAAAGCTATGATGAAACTCATGTGTGATTAGTTTAGGGGATTGGAAAGTTGTGTCTGGCAACTCAGAGCTAGTATGATAAGGGAATATTGCTCTAAATTTACATATGGATAAGAAAGAGGAATAACCTTTTTACTCTAGTTTATGCTTTACTTGTTGGGTGTTCATTTTGTTGAATTTAAAATTCTATGTAATGTGTGTTGAAAGCATCAAGACTCAAATGACATCGCAAATTTGTAAAGGAATTTTGGCATAGTCATATAGCGTGATTTACTGGCATGGATCATGTCTTTTGGTAGTTGAGTTAGGAAATAGGTTATTAGAATGTTTTGGAGTTGAATAATGTTAGAGTGGGAGTGAGAATGAGAATGAGAAAATGGAAATTTTGTTTGGCAAAAATTGAGTCAGCTACAAGTAGTAGAAGCATCACTTATTGATAGCTCGTGGCAGAATGATTAGAACAACAGAAGGGTTAGCTACTGGTAGAATAATCATGAACTACCGATAGCAATTTTCTAGAATGGTCAGCTACCAGTAGTAGACTTACGAGCTACCGGTAGCTCGTGCCTAGAATCGCAAAAACGAGGTTTTTAAACCCATTTTTTTAGAAAAACCTTTCATCTCTCTGACTGCTCTCCTTCTCAAAACCACTTTCTCCTATCGTAAAACCCTCTAAACCTTCAAAGAAACCTTGGGCATCCTTCATCTCCATCAATTTTTTCCCTCAAGCTTTGATTCCCCTTGATTTCTCCTCATTTCCCTAACTTCTTCTCTCTCAAAAAAATGCCAAAAACCTCTCTTCTCCATAAAACATCACCAAATCCATCAAAAGCCGTGATTTTCACTCAAAGCTTGGATTTCTGAATAATGGCTAGAATGGGTAAGTCTCCACCTTCATCTCTTGGTATTTTTGAGTTATTTTGGGGCTGGGTGTTCCCGTTCTTCCCCCTAGGGGCATTTTTTATTTTGATGGCCCGTACCAAACAAACAGGCCCAGTCTCCTCGCCACAAGCAGGAACCGAGTCCCGCAAGAGGGCGGAGTGGATGGCCCCTAGTGTTGGGGACCCAACGGAGAAGAAGAAGCATAACCCTCACACGAAGAGCATTAAAGCCAAGAATTTGATGTGTGAGCGCCAAGTGGATAGGCCCGCCCACGAGCCACACGATAATTTGGTCCTGGCGATTAAGGGTCATGAGCTACACTTTTGGTTCTTGACTATGGAGGGGTATGTGCTTCCCATTTGTTTGGAATTTTACCAGAAGTTGGGGGTGGTGGATGAAGATTTGCGTTTGTTAAAGACGAATGTGAGGGGAAAGGTGATTAAGGTCACTCCAACAGTCATTGTCGAGGCTTTGCAGTATCACAAGCCCACTTCTAACACCCCTATCTTTCCCCATAACACCTGAGCGGGGAAGTCACTCCAAGAGTACATAAGCCTGATGTTTAAGGACCCTTCATAGTTCAAAGGAAAAATTCAAGTCGGGGGACTCAAGCATTCCTACAGGGTGATGAATAAGGTCCTTTACTACAATAATTTGCCTCGGGGTACAGAAAAGTCACCGAGGGAAGAGAAACTGGCCCTCCTTTATGAGTTCATGGCTAGAACCAGAATGGACATCGCCTTGATGATTTGGGAGGTGATAAAGGACTACTCCCAAACTACGAAGCCAAGGGAGAACCTTCCTTACGCCCACCTACTCAAGGGCATCCCTACTGACGTGACACTCCCGCCTAAGTTTGGCCCTATAGACAAGCCGAGTAGCATGAAGAGGACAGCTATGATAGTAGGGTCCAAACTTAGAGAAGAGAGAGCTATGCCATCTAGGGCCGAACCACCTATAGCCGGACCATTGACAGTCGAGCTATCTACTACAACCTTACCTATAACAGTCTCTCAGCATCTAGATGGGATCTAGGAGAAGTTGGATGATTTCAGGGGGACTATGCAGCTGCAAAAGCTAAAGGTCCCCGAGATTCCACCACCACTGGCTACCGCACCAAAGTCCCCATCACAAGCTCCAGGGACTAGTGCTAGCATACAAGTGTCTGCCCCAACCAACTTAACTGATGATGGGGATGATGAGGAGGAAGATTAGAGAGAGTTTAATCTTGGTTATCTTTTGTTGTTATTTTGTTGGTTGTATATAATGGGGTAGCAATTTAGGAATCTCTAGCCTAGTAGAAGAATTCCTAGGATAGTAGGCCATTTTCTCTTGAGTCCTTGTACTTATTGCAAACCTCTAAATGAAAGAACTACATTTTTGTTTCATTATGCCCCAATCTCATTTACATAATTGCAATACGATTTGAATATTTTGTTAGTCCATGAATTATCTAACATAAATGAAATTGTTATACATGCAGTACGTAGTTTTGCAATAAGGACTAGCAAAGCTCAAGTTGGAGGCTCTGATGAGTGTGGAACATTGCATATTAAGCACGTTCATTACATCCAATTTAACTTGTTTTGTAGTATTTTTTTTGCAAAATGGATTCAAATTCATAATTAAAGGAGATTGGTATGATTGCAGGTGATAGATTGAAGAGGGCAGACATAAAGCACCCCATCAAGTGATCGAGGTCAATGGGGCAGAAAGGATCTCATGATAGATTTCTCGGGAACTCAAGGAACCAAGAATTTCACGACAAGGAGATGAGCTACCAGTAGAAGACCTGTAAGACTTACTGGTAGAAGAGCCTACTTACTGGAAAGCAGCTTCTAGTGCCTCCCTGCAAGACTTACGGATATGATATTTATGAGCTATCGATAGAAGACCCCACTGGAAATAAGCAACCGATAGAAGACCTACAAGACCTACCGGTAGAAAAGCCTACTGGAAAACAGCCTCAAGTGCCTCCCTGCAAGACATATCGATAGGATACATATGAGCTAATAGTAGAAGACCCTACTAAAAATGAGCTACCGGTAGGAGCCTTACGAGTTACTGGTAAAAGATCCCTTGAAAACCCAAATCCTTCCTCAAACAACTCCACCAACTACGAAAGCCCACCTTTTGTCACCTAATCCATGCTCTAAAATTTATAACACTCGATAATGATCTCATATCCCCTATATTCAAGCACGATGGAGTGGGTGACCAATGTAGACAGAGGGAGTGGTTGGAAAAGCATGGGACGACCATGCGTTGACTAATTTTGGAAGCTTTGGTTGACAACCTCTCTCCAATCACTCCAAGTCAGCCACTCATGCTAAGAGGGAAGGAGGATGGATGAAAATAGGGACTTCCTTCACACAAATTCAGATCATAAAAAAGGTTTTAGAGAGAGAAGATCCAAGGTAGAAGATGAAGTTCTAGAGAAAGAAAGGTAGGTTTTACATTTTCCTTTATCATTTTCATTGTAGTAAACTCCATTTCACATGTAATCTTTTCCTTTTTCACTTTAATCTCTTTTATTCAAGTTGTAATTAAGCTTAGCTAATTTTCGTGTGGTTCATTGCTACATTTGGCTCCTCTTTCCTTTAAGCCTTACATGTTGGAAATGAATAGCTTTTCTTTTGTAGTTTAAACTTTATTTTAAATTAATACAAGTCTATGTTTGATTTCACTACTACGTTTCTCTACTTAATGTTTGTTATTGTTTTTATCATGCATAGCTAAACTTTTAGTTGGCTAATCCAAGAGATATTTCCCCTTGGGTGTGTGAAATCGACTCTCTTCCATTCTTCCTCGTAGTTTAAAGTGTTTGGTTTGACTAAGTTGAGTGCGGACGTAGTTGTGAGCTTTCGATACACCATAGACTTATCACGTGGTATGCTCTTGCCCAACACAGCTACTTAGTTCTTCACTTCCTACGAATTAATCAAACACCGAGACACCATTAGTTGAATGAAATGAGTCGATTTGGCATTTCCATTGGAATAACCTCTATGGATTTGCCAACCTTGCTTCTTGTATATTCTTCACTCACAACTCACCAAACTCCAAGCCACAAGATTTTTCAATTTTCACTTTATCACAAATCACTCTTCAAGAACACCCGACCGTGCCTTCCCTGAGGAGACGACCTTAGAATATTCATTCCAAGTTAAACACGACATTGCAAGTCTCTCTATGCTTAGAGAGCACTTTTGCACACACGCACAATTTTGTTGATCCACATACATTTTTCCCACTTCTTGCATTGAACTCAAGGGAGAGTGACACTCACCATACACTATAAGTCACACACACAAATAATTAGGTTCATGTTGGAGGTTAGGGAAGACGGTAAAGCATAATACAAAACTTGTATTTTTTATAAAGGCTTGTAAGGATACTTTATATTTTGACATTTAATCTCATTATTAATGGATGTAGTATGAATATGTATGGTTAAATGTTGAAATCTGGGAAATCAAGGCTTCATGTTCTAGTACTCATGCTTACAAGTATCGGTACCTAGCTTTCAGTGGGCTCAAGTACTGATACTTATGCTCATAGGTACCGATATCCCGATAATGGAGGGCCCAGGTACCGGTACTAAGGCTTACAAGTACCGGCACCTAGCTTCCAGAGGGCTCAGGTACTGGTACACCTTATCACAGTTATGGATACCTCATCCCCAAATTTGATTTTTGAATTTCAATGCTTTCGAGCCTTCATATCTTGTGTGCTTTCTTCGGACAATATGAATGGTAAAATTTTAAGTCCTACACCTTGGGATGTCAACCTTGGAAAATTTGTATGAATAATGTATGCAGAGGTTATTTATTGGATGGAGCTCCCTTGCAAAAGAAATTCTGCATGAAATTTATTTTGTTATGATCCCAATGAATAGGGTGTAACGACATGGTATCGAATCATACAGTATTCATAGGTATTCCAAGGCATGATGGGTGATAAACGAGTTGAGAAAGGACCCTCGAATTTTGGGCCGTCACACAATCAGCTTTCATCTTCTTCTTAAAGATCCATTTACAACCTAAAGTTTTATTACCTAGTAGAAGATCCACCAATTCCCATAAATGATTTTTCATAATGGATTCAATTTTAGAATTAACCGTTTTCTTCCAATAAGGTGCTTCAAGGGAGGACATAGCTTCATGAAAACTTATGAAGATCATTCTCTAATAGATAAGTCAGAAAATAAAGACCGAACGACATTAAAGCATTTGTCCTTTTTCTACATTTACGTTCATCTTGTATGAATTCCTTGTTTGTATTAACTTGACCATTACTAGTCGTAGCATCAATTGGTCTTTTTAATAAGCTTGATTCATATGATATATTAAATGAAAAATTATTTTTTATAAAATGAAGCATTCCTTGATTCAATAATTCTATTAATATGCCCATCAGAAATCTCAAATTTATGAACAAGAAATCGATATGCACTACTGTCATGGGAATAACCAATGAATACCCAATCAATGATTTTAGGTCGTATCTTAACTTTTTTAGGTTTAGGAAGTACCACTTTTGTTAGACATCCCCACACTTTTAAATATTTATAGGATGGATTTTGACATTTCTATAATTCATCAGGTGTCTTATTTGTTTTCTTATAAGGCAATTCGTTAGAAATATAATTATTAGAAAAATTAAGGCATTAAGAAATGATAGGCCAGGTGAATATGAATATCCTTTTGTGGAGTTCTCTTCAACACATAGAATCATTCACCAAACTATTGTCCCATATTCACCACAATCAAATGGCATAGTTGAATGCAAAAATCGAACATTGAAAGAAAAGCTAAATGCTATGCTTTCAAGTTTGAGTGTATCCCAAAACTTGTTGGGAAAACCTTACAACAAAGTGGCAACCCCAAAGAAGAGTATTTTTTTCCAACATGCGCTTTAGGCCCGACATATAAATAAGACCCCTAATTTAAGAGGCCAATAATGAGGTAAAATCAAAGATTAAAACTTTGTATAATTTAATCCAGGCAAAAAAAAAAGTAAGCAAACAAAAATAATTTTAAAATTTGAACCCAAAAGTCCAACTTACGTCACACAATCACCTTTGTTGAAGTAAAAAATTGATTAACAAAAAATTTTGACATCATCAATCTTGTTTTGACTTTCTCATATTATATATATATATATATATATAATAAGCATCTCTCTCTCTCTCTCTCTCTCAAAACAAAAACAATTCCACACATTATCTACTTCTCTCAATCTCTCTCTCTTTCTCT